CAGCTATTGTCAACATTCAATTTTAATTTCGGAAACACAAGTTGCGCTCACAAAAAGACTATTAATAAGGCTAACAACAAGAATAACCAGAGTACGTACGCAACGGTATTCCTCTACCCGCCAAAAGGACAATTTCACGTGCATTCATTTAAGTATGCGGGTGCGTAGAGCATGTATATAATGTACACGTCAAATCATATGATAAATTGGATCGCGCTCGCAAGCTCAACTGCATGCTCGACTCTCGTGAGTAAATCATATAGCAGCGGCTAGTGGACGCGCATTTATTGTCTCTCGGGCACGAGGCAAGTAAGCATTATTATCAGTCCGAAAACATCTAGAATATACGTGTGCGCGAGGTCTGCCGCTACCTACAATTCGCTCGGCATCTTAATAGACTGTCGCGCAAGCTCGAGTGCTAATTTATGCTATGCGCCGTATATATTATACAAGCGCGTATAGTTCAGCCTCGCCATACGTAGCTGTGAGTCGAGAGGCGTTGAAAACGACGTGACTTATGGATCGAATTAGCGGCAACTTATTGGATTTTACCCCCTGACAAAGTGTATATCTATACGCGTGCGTTTTAGCGAAGCAGCGGCAGTTGCTTCGATATATAATACAAGTTAGTAATTTCACGTTCGGCTCGATATAACCAATGGCAAGCGAGCGAAGTAGACAAGAGAGAGAGACAGGTTTGTTGGTCAATTAACGGCAAGTAAGTTGTAAGATCCAGAGCTTTCGCGTAACTGCGTCGTCGTCGACGGCGTCGTCGTGTCGAACACTTGACAGAGTCGTTACGCTGTTATCCAGCTGAGACGGTATGAAAATTAACATTTTGCGGTACAGTATATTTTTGGCATAATTAAATTGTGCACTGACAATAAGTTGGCTCTCGAGTTACAGTTATTAACAATGTCCTGCTTTTACGGTGCCGTCGCTTTTTTCTTTGTAAAGTGAGTAAAAATTATTTTTTCAATTGATTTACCAATACTCAATGAATGAATCATTATTTATCGACAATAATTTCAGTTTGATTAATCGCTGATTGAAATCTAGCGTTGGAGTAATTGGAATAATACTTAAATTAATAATTTGTAAATAAACTGTAAATACATTACGGATTAAAATTTATAGGGGGCTTAAATGTTTTCATGTACAATACTTCGTTGTAAAAGTGAAAAAGTTTTTTTGGAGAACAGGTATAGCAGCCTTTTTCAATATCCCATTTTAAAATAATTTAATCATTTAACACTTAAACAACTTATGGTAAAATTCCAAGAGTTCACGTGACTTAATTTTAGTCATATGTATTCTCATTTCGTTAGATGGATCATTGGCAATGATCGCAATCAAAAGATTGATTTTATGTCAAGTTTTTCTATGTGATCATGGCCAATGGTCCATCAAACAAAATGAGACCTACATTGAGTCATGCAAACATACTTGGAATCCTACGATAGGTAGCTAGAATTTATAGCATAGAAGCTCTATAGTACTGATACATTGTATTTTACTATTTTTGAGTATCTAATTGTAAATCGGTCAAAGTAATTTTTAATAAGATCTTGAAAAAAGCTGACTTTTATACATCAGGATTTAGGTTATAAGTAAATCGCGCAATTCATTCAATATATTGAATTAAATATTAAAATTAATTTTAAAACGATGTTACGATAAGAGAAAATAGTACCTAAATTTAAAGCGTAAATAATTTCGGTAAATTTAAGTAAACGTTCAAGTTGAGCTCGCTAAATTTCTTACGGATTAATTATGTTTGTCATACATTTTCATTTAAATCAAGTTATCTTTCTGTTTCAAATACTCACAAGTAACGATGAATTTTGAATACTATTTAAATCCAATTGCACTTTTCAAATGTTTCAACTGTGTAACTATAATGTTACTAATGTAAATCTGAATAAAATTAAAAAATTACGAGCTGAGGAGTAGAATTAAATTCTTTTTAATTACGGAGAGATATACTTAAAGACAAATTGAATTGACCTGCTAAGAGGGTAAATATATGACAGTTTTTGATGTTACCAAACTTTTTAAATTACTTTGGACTAATGATAAGGATACCTAGAGACGATTAACGGAGAAATTTAAAATTCGTTGGAATTACGAGATATAAAGTTGAAATTTATTCGACTTTATTGTCACAGTTTCTCCTTATTTCTATTCGGAAGGCGCACGTGGTTTTAAGTACTTCGCCCATAAAATTAGATAAAACAACATCTGGTGATAGCTTTTCTACGATGGCACTCCTAAAACGGAGCAATTGTTTTAGTCTTATTTCGATTTAAAAGAAAATAGTTGTAGTTGAGTGAAATTTGCGCAACACATCTAATGTTTGTGAGAACTATAATTTTTATATTTAAAAAAAATAGTATATTTTTTAACAAGCGCGCGAAGCAGTTGACTCACCCAGGAGTTGTTTTCAGCCGAGCGTAGCGAGGGTTAAAAACACGGGTTTTGTAACCTTAAAGCGACAAAAAACCCTAGTTTCTCTCAAGCAGAGTTAAAAAATATCGTTTACAACTAGTTTGCGAGGAAGTTGACTCATCCATGAGTCTTTGCACCCTTACTACGCTTGGGTGAAAACAACTCCCGGATGAGTCAACTGTTTCGCGCACTTGTTACAAAATATACTATTTTAATCCTGCTTGCGAGAAACTAGGGGTTTCTGACGCTTTAAGGTTACAAAACCCGTGTTTCGTACACGCAGTGTTAAAAAGAAATTCTTTAGTCTTTCTGTTTTGCTTCAAAAATTTATTTTAATTCGGGTCATTATGGGTCAGTACAAGTTCTTATATCGCGATATGAAATCTATTAATACGCAAAAGTGCAATTTTGTGCATGAATTTTAAATTGTAAAAAAATCATAGATAAAGTTAAAATCTTTTCTCGAAAGTTCATACCCAGGGGTTTTAGGGTGTTATTTGAAACCTCCAAAGGTAGGGCAAGGTAGAAAATCTACTTTTAAAAAAAATTTCAAGTCAAAAATCATATTTTTTTCAAGATGCAAAATAAACCATGATAATGTTTATTTATCGCGAAAATAACACCAGATTCTGAAGATTTCTTGAGAAGAAAAGGCATAAAATAAACATTTTTTTTATAAATATGGAGTTTTTAGCTCTAAAACTTGAAACATAAAAAATCTAAAATATTAAGTTTATATAAAAAGGGGAACATTTCTATGGTGGATAATAAAACAGATCGCCACTTATATGAAATTTTTATTAATTTTTTCCGAAATACCCGAAAAATCGAAAAAAAATTTGTGTAGTGTTTTTTTGATTTTTGAAAAGAACCTGTGAAAATTTTGTCAAATTTTCGAATTAAAAATTATTTTCGGGTTCGGTATTTAAAGAAAATGTATGTTTGTATGATTTTTACCGCATTCAAGCACATACATTAGTCCTCTGCGAGTCATTCTTCACCCGTTAGAGACGAGCTGGATAGGGGTAAAAAGCCATGAGAAAACTATTATGCCCTGCAGCTTGTTGGTCATTCCAGTTTAATCTCACTCGAGTGCTGCTGCTAGGTCATTGAAAAAGTCTCATAAATGGCATGGACCACAAGGTAGGTTTAGCCTGCCGGTACGTGCGCTGCCTTACCGCCATTGCTGTATAAACGTATGATGAAGTGAAAAAAGTCTCCGGAAAAAGAATGCCGCAACAGGCGACGAAACTCCACAGCAGCGACAGTAAAGTCATGGTTAGGAACTTCCTTCCGGACAGGTATTGTGTACCCCTTGTGCACATTTTGCTTCTGGTACGTCGCTATACCGTATAGAGGTCCCTTGAGACTTTGCCGGCAAATATATTATTCGGCTTCATTTTATGCCTTCATTTTTCTGTTTGAATTTTCCTCAGCAGGCGCGCGCAATGCCTTTTTTCATCTTCTGAGTATTATTTTGCTGACGATGCTGTGATCATTTTGGTTAAAACTTCCTTTTTGTACTGATTTTGTATTGGTGTATGGTTAATCCTTTTTGTAAAAATAAAATTTTTACTTACCATTTTTGTAAAATAAAACAAACAAATCGTGTGAAGGTTGTCTGTTTATCATTTTAATAAAGCTCAAAGTCAAAATAAAATTAATTCATTATTTATTGACGACAATTAATAACAATAATGCTTGGTATTTTTTAATTTTGTTTTGACTGTAAGTTTTATTAAAGTAACATAGGGAATACCTTCACACAATTCGTTTGTTTTATTTTTACTTAATCCTTTTGTCGTTTCAATTGTAAAAAGAAGTTGATTAATGAAAAAAATCGGTTTTTTGGAAATCAACTTCAAGTATAAGAGCGATCTCAAATAGAACCAAAAAATTACTTATTGCGATAAATATCTCTGATCTTTAAAATATTTTAGTAGAAACAAGTAATCCAGCAATTTTTCATGTAAAGATTGGCGCATCTAACTCTGTGAGTTTCAATCTCAGATAACGGCTGTTGAATAGTTTCTTGAAAAAAATTGTCAACGACAAAGGTGCATAGCCGAGAGGCATACACAATTAAGAAAACCGTTAACAATTCATTTTTCATCTTTTCAAAGGGCTTTTGTCTCCCGACCTCTAGGTCTTAGATCGCGACAGAGTTGAAACAATTTTCTAATTATTATCTCCCTTTTCTCATCTTCCTGAGAAAATTAAAATTTGCATCGTTTGGTCCAAAATCGAATTTGAATTTCTAATAGATAAGAGGCCTGTACGCAGCAACGCGCTACGGTCATCTTTATAATTTTCATTACTACATCCATAATACTTATTATTTATGCAAGTATTGTACGTATATATATTAAAAATATTAAACTGTAGTTTTTGCTCAGGTAAACAAAAGCGACACTTAAGGAAGTAACAGTCGAGTGAACAAGAAACGAGCGAAGAAAATGAGTGAAGAAGGAGAAAGAAGACCATGATTAAGTGTAGATGGAACAAGTTACTGTAAATGAAATAAAAATATCGAATACGTAAGCTTTACTTACAACGGATAGCTCAGCTTTCCTGTGCACTTTTATTATTCGCCTATTTCACTGAAATGATGGAATTTAAATATGAAATTACTAAAAATGAAAAATCACTCATTTAATTTCAAATTTCAATTTCGCTGAATATAACAGTGCACAATTTTTACAAAGAAAAAACACATGGTCCGTATATCAATTATACAGTCATGAATTGAAGTAGATTAAATCATAAGTCAAGACATTCGTCACGGCGGTCGAGCAAGCAGAGACTCATTATATACTCATTTAAAGATCTAGAGTAGCACAAATTAGTTTAAAATTATATTCTGCGTTACTAATCGTTTTTTATAATGAGATTTGAAACGGCTATTGTCATGTAACTTTGCTAATTGCTGACAATTCAACGACAAATTTTATTTTATATCGTTTTTTCAATCTCATGCAGTAAAAAAAAAAAAGAAACATGAGCTACGATTGATTGAAAATAAATCGCTGTGCCTACGCATCGCAGGTTAAAATGTCACTTTTGTCCGTGAAAAATTTCAAAATAAAAGTTGTCAATTGCCGGAAATAAAAGCTGCGTATGCGCGAGACTGTGAATGTACCTAGCATCGCACAACTCTTTTATCGCAGACAAAAAAAATCGTTACCCGCAGCAGTAGTTGACCCTCTCCGCCCCTTCTTTTGGCAAAAACACCGCACACGCCACGCGTTTGTCAAGCTCGTGCAGGAGTGACAAAAAAGGACGTTACTCGAGCAACGGTACAAAAAAGAAAAAAATATTTGCGAAGGAAAATTGCCTGGGATGAGACGTTGCGTTTATATGCGTCCTGTGTGACTTTACACGTTGCTGCAGACCCACGCTCCACAGCGGTACTTTGCAAAGTTACGATCGTTTGCGCCAGTTTGTCGAGTGAAAAGAGTCAATCTTCGTATTAAACTTGACTCCTTTCTCACACGGACGTTCGCGCAACTGCTCTGTTGCGCGCAGTGTTTCACCCTCATTTTTCAGGAAAGAGAAAAAAAAGAGAGATAGAAAAACAATCGAAAGAAAGAAGAGAGACATTTCTTTATTTGGAATTGTGGACGAAGAAAAAAGAGGCAAACTTTGGCGATTAACTTCCGGTTGAAAGCGTCGTCTACTACTCTGTGCGATTGCACACATAGTCGGAACTGCACTGACGCGCGCTCCGTACTTCCCGCGGGCAGTATTTTCTGCCTATTCCAAAACTCGTAAAGTATATTGGAATTGTAAAGATACTTTACGACTCAAATTCGTATCAACAAACAATCGTATCCCTCGACTATATTAAAAACAGTCAAAAAGAAGAAGTAGTTGCAGGAACGAAAGAAATGATAATAATTACTATAACGTGCATTGCGTATTTCACGCGTAACAAGAAACCGTACCGAGATTCAGCCGAGTACTTTTCTGTCACATGATTTTTTACTTAGCATAAAAAGTATGGGAGAAAAAGCAATCCAGCGAGATTTTAGCCCGAGTATGGCAGCAGTCGTGTGTCGTAAATCAACACAGAATCCTTTTTCATAAAGTAGTGCAAAAGTCTTCTTTTTTTTTGAGCGCGGGATATACGCCCCGTCCCGACGGTGACGTGTCTGTCGGCTATACAGCAGCAGCGCGAGCAAAGCGAAGAATTTTCCCGTACGTGTGAAAAGAAATATACTTTTTCCAACTTGCGCGACTTTTATAAGCGCGAGCATTACAATGTCAACTTTAACTTTGTAAAAGTCGTCATCCTCGTGTACGCGTGGACGGGAACAGACAATTTTATATTTGCCATATTGTAGCTGGGTTTCGAGATGCATCCCTTGTTTTGCCAACTCAGACACAACTTTTAACGATTGACCATTAACTCTCCTTCTCAAAACCTACACGTTTATCTACCACGCCTGGACTAGCAGCCTATTTGGGCTGAACTGAATCCAACTTGTGCTCTCGGACCAATCGTCGTAATTTCGTGATCCATTTCAGCTTTGTTATTTAAAAAAATAAATAAACCTCGTCACTACCCAGGCTAGTGACTCATCTCTTCTCGCTTTCATCCCTTGCTGCATAACCAGATGCCCTACTTTATATGAAGCCGAACATAAAAGCCAGAAACGACCGAGCTTCCATCACCGTGCACACTCAAGACTACTCTAAAGGGCTATGGCCACCTGCTACTACACCCACACAATTTTTCTATACCAACTACTTGTATTAACTCCCCAAGTTTTTTAATCGTGGACTTTATTACATGTTTTTTTTTATGTCTTATAGATACCACCTGTTGTTTAATAATTTTTCTATATATCATTTTTTACGTTTAGTAGCGTATGGCTGTGTTCGTAAATGAAAAAGTAAGTTTTTTATATAAAATTTAAAAATGGATTTTTAGTTACAATAATAATATTCTTTAAAATTACTAGAACACAAACTAAAAATCGTATCCTTGCATTATTGAGTTCAATTGTCGTTATTATTTCACTTACTGTTGTATATCTATAAATCTGAATCTCAACTGAAATAATTACGATACCGGCCTTTTCATGAAAATTTACTTCATTCCATTCATTTCACTGCTGCTGACCTCTAATACACGGAGAAAAATTTATAGTAAAAATTGCTATAGGTCTTAATAAAAGTGTGACATCTTTGAGGTTAGGGAAAATTTTACTAAAATCCTTTGTAATTTTTACTATATTTCTCTCAATTTTTATTTTATTTCTTATAATTTTTATACATTTTATAGCAACTTTTCACCCGAACGTCAAAGATGTCACACTTTTATTAAGACCTATAGTCATTTTTCCAAAATTTAAAGAAATTATTACTATATTTCTTCTCTCCGTGTATTAATGAGTTAGGAGAGTCTTTTTCAATCTCAATCTAGGCTTTATTATCAAAAGATTCATTTTTGAATATTTGAGATATCTAAATAATAATATATGTAAGTGTATAAATATCAAAACAATCGAATTTACAAAATTAAATACTAAAATGAATATTTTACTTATGCAGGAAATGAAGTTAAGTTTTCTTTGTATAGTTGATTATGTCTCTAAACTAACTTTTTAATAATTAGTCAAAGATTCACAGCTTAAAAATAACTATACCTATTTTTTTAAACATGGAGACATAATCATTTATTTCCTAGAAAGTTAAATTTTCATATTTATTCGTTCGTGTTGACACACAATTTTGTTAATGTCTTGGATGAAAATTATGAAAAATCTTTAATGGTGCTGAATAAACTTTATTATTTAATTAATTTTTATTCTATATTTTTTCTAGAGTGGTTGACTATTGAATCATAAAATAATAATGAGTTTTACACCATTCACTATGAAAAATTCTGTCTTCTTGCTGGGCGCAATTCTGAATGCTACTTTCGAATCCGTATAATAACAGTGCCCAATGGCTTGTATACGCACGCAAAAAAACATTTGCTATCTTTAAAAAAAAAAACTGTTTTTAAATTTGCCCATATAGAGGTTCGTTATGGTGAGATTCTACCGTTTATATTATATAGAAAAGTACGGAAGATAATCTAACAGCGATTCTATACTTAAAATGTAGCTTATATTCGCCCAACGCGAGATCTTCTTTTCTTACATTGCAACAGCAGCACTTGGATCAAAAAGTTTTTTCTCGTTAGAGTTATATACACAGTTCTGCACGCGAATTATATATAAAAATTCGAAATATAACGCGAGCGAGCAAGCGCACATGCACCGACCTATATTTGAAACCACAGAGCCAATTTTTCTTTTTGTTTATTTGTGCCAAACGAAAATAAAGTCGAGGAGAAAAAATAGCAAAAGTTGTGAGGCACATGCGAAGCAGAATAGATAAAAAATGAAATAGAACGTAGTGAGCTATTGGAGGAGAATGTGTGCATGAGCAGCGGAGATGAATTTTGTTGGTATTTGATTGCCAGAACAATTCAATTGCCGAGAAAAAGGGATAGAAGACTGATTAGGCGGTCGAAAGATTCAAGCAAGATAAATATTCCAGTTCCGAGTGATTTTTTTTTATACTCAATTCTCTGTGCTGGATTATACTTATAGATTGATCTTCATTGCGATCATGATTGTGATTTCTAGCTATAATAGACTGTATTATGGATTGTTTATCGATCCGAAAGACATACTTTAACCTACATAACGGAACTGCTTGAAATTTTTATGACTTCAATTAGTAACGCGAAATGCTACGATTTAGTTCGAGAAAGCAAACGATCGTGAACAATTTTTAGCGTCACTATAACTATAATTTCATTTAACACATTTAATTTAACTTGACTTTATATTGAGGTGCGAAAAGTAATTTCTTATTTTATTGAAGTTTATTGTGATCTCAATAATTCATATGAAAACTTGGCCAACCTGAAGCAACGGAAGCCGTAAATCATGTTTTTATTATAATTCCAAATTAATGCTGACTTGATAATAAATTTCGAATATTCGTTGTTAATTTCGAATAAAAATTCATTGTATACATCTTTTTTGTTGTAATTTACATTATCCAATCTTGAATTATGCATACGTGTTATAAGCTCTCATGATGATAATTTAAATTGCTTTTATTAACTGAGAGGGGCAAGTATTGTTGAACAGTAACGAGTGGCTTTATGATAATAAAAGTGGTAGAAAAGTTCATTCTTACTAATAACTAATAATGGACCATAATACATTCATTGTATACTGTCATAATTACTCATACTATACCAATCATCAATGCATTTCTATTATTGGACTAGTCGGGAGTCTCAGAGGGGGACGAAGCGGGACGCGAGGGGCTCCTATACTTCCAATGTTAAATTTTCAGCGCTGCCAACTTCGAAATAACACGAAATTGTAGGTTTTTTCAATGAGCTGGCACACAATTATAGCTATTATTAATAATTCAATCATTTTGATGAGTTTTTTTCGATTTTTTAGGCTTAAAACAATACTTTATTTGTCATTAGAGTCGAATGAGCACATATTTTTGTTGTTCTAGCTCATTTGTTGGTTAGGGTACGCGCGAATGACCCACGAATTTTTACACATAACAATTTATT